GACGTCTGTGATCATTTTATTGGAGGCAAGGCAGTGGACAAAATGATTACGGATGGAAATGTGCACACCGGATACTCCAACTGAACTCTAAACCTGGAGAATGATGGCGTTACACAGACTGCAAAAAGCGCAGGACGTCTGGTGTCTCTTCACTCCATCATCCTTCTCGCCATGTCGTCCTGCGAGCGAAACTAAAAGAAACACATCTGCGCCTGCTTCTGTCTGCTCATGTTTTCAATTCTTTATTTCCTCTGTTCGTCGTAGATTTACTTTGAAACAGCTGAGAAAGAACAGAGACTTTCCCTAAACCCATTTTCTCTCTGTCACAAACGGGCAGACACACAAACCTTTCACTCCTGTACAAAATGGGGATGAGAGATGTGCAGACAAAGTCGAACAAGTCTGTGATAATAAAGTAAAATGAAGCAGAGGACACAGGTACACTGGCAGGGTTTGTACAGGTGTGGAAGTTTTCTTTTTATCTGTTAGGTGACGGTTACCACATCTTCTCACCTTTGCGGGGGGGATGAGAAAAAACGCTTCACTTTTGCGCTGCTTCACTGTCTTTTTACAACCCTGCGAGCCTGCCAGGGGAACTTAATTTATCACTAACGTCCCATAAAACTTGGTTTAATTAAAACAAACTTCCCATGATAAGAGGCAATTTGCGAGTTTCTGTCTTTTTGTTTCCTTCCTTTTATTTTCAATTAAAAAAAAGGCTCTGATGTGTGCTGAGCTAAATATATTCTACTGCGTGTTCTGTCACCTCTTCAAAAGTTTTTTTTTTTGAAGGGGGGTGTCTTTTCTAAGATATGCAGCCTAACAAAATTAGCACATACCTCGATTTTTCTTTACTTTTTCCCCTGCAAGTCGACATAATAATTACTGACATAATTACAAGTGATTATTCTCCACGGAAGGAAACGCAGCCCTGTTTAACGGCATGGTTAGCCCGTAAAAGTAGGCTCTAATGTGCTTTAATTTACCAGTCTCTTTGCGTTTGCGTGCGCACTGGCCATATCTGCGCGTGCTCGGCCCAGTGTTTAATATTAGTTATTGTTTCGGGATGTCTTAGAAAAGCTCCTGTACTATAAAGGGAGCGGTGACGCGCCAGTCTCTTCTGCGCGCTCAGATGTGGGTTTTTTGTTTTTTTTTTGTTTTTTGCCTTGTGATGTGTGGGGGGTAAAGTTTTCTGCGGAAGGCGGGGGCGCGGCTGTGTAGTGTGGAGGCTCTGGGCAGACTGGTGGTTTCAGGGTGTCAAGAGTCTGTTCTGGGCGAGCGCAGCAGAGTGCATGAAGGAAACCGGGAGCAGGGAGAGTTGGCGGGCTTAAACTCTGGACTGTGCGAGCAAACCTCACCTGCATCTTGGAATCTCTCTCAGTCTCACTTTTTGGGAATAGTGGGAAGCTTGCTGTTCCTTGGGATGGAGCGTGGATGGGACGGTGTTTCATATGCTGGGATGTGTATTCTGGGTGTTCTGTCCGTGCTCTCGTCGGCGCTAAACGGAGTTTGGGGCTTTAACTTTTACGCAGAGCATCCCACAGTTTATAGGGGACCCGATGGAAGTTACTTCGGTTATGCTGTGGACTTCTACCAAGCTACCGCCGACAGCAACACGTGAGTGGCAACATCAGGGCTGAAGCTGTCCTCCAGAAGTTCTTCTTAAACTGTACCTGTACAAATTGAACACATTGCCTTACACTAATAATAATAAAATAATAAAGTGATGGGGGGGAATAATGAAAATCCATGAGCGTCATCATCTGTCTTACCTCTGACAGATTAAGGAAAACAGAGTAAAAGGACCTTCCATGTATGAGAGTTTATGCATTGTTTGAAGAGTACATTGTCTTGCATGTGTCTTGGTTTTTCTTTTGCCTATTAGGATCAGTGTGCTGGTTGGGGCTCCCAAAGCCAACACCTCCCAGCCCGGCATCGTAGAGGCTGGAGCTGTTTATTACTGCCCCTGGCCTGGGCTGCCTGAGAGCTGCAGACAGATACCCTTTGACAACTCCAGTGAGTTACCTGAAGCCTGTTTTCTCTCTGTCTTTCTCACTGACCTGAATAAACATGAGGTAGACTGCTGGTTTCTTTGCAGTAAATAGAAAGGCTGGACAAACTGTGAGCCTGTCACAATCATTGTTTCATGAGTTCTCATATAAGTGTTTTATTTAACACCAGAGATGAAATTGAACCATCATTTATTTCACTTGTAATAATTCCTTTTAGAATCATAGGTGGCCCCAGATGTTACTGGAATTGAAACCACTGTTTTATAACCTGTGTGTGTCTGTTTAAGTTGGCGCAAGTGTTATTGGATGAAGAGAGAGAGAGAGATGAGACATGTGGGTCTCATCAGCTTCCTGTAACAATAAAAAAAAGAAAGAAAAAAAAGTATGGCAGGTTTGCTGGTGGATTTCTTCATCATGTTGATTATGGTATCCAGTATATTATCAACAGTGATGTCCAATCAACTTTTGTTGGTGGGTCTAATGTCTCTGACACACGCTTCTCTATCTGAGTTGGCATGTGTGTGTGTGCGAGAGAGAGAGAGAAAGAGGGAGAGAGAGAGGAGGGGGTAAACTGAATGCACATGGGAATTTAGTTTCCCTTCGGAAGAAAGGGGGATTGGGCGAGGTCTGCTTTTTATTAGATCTTGAAAATGTAACCCTGTCTCCTTTCCCTCCCCTCCATCAGTCTGTCCTTCTCTCTCTCTCTCTCTCTCTCTCTCTCTCTCTC